TCAAGTGACAAAGAAGTGAAAAATGAATCATTATAAAAAAGAGAAGTTTGACCCTTAGGGTGTGGTTAAGTGTAATGATCGTAATTTCATGTTTGTTAGAGTTTATATTGGACAGTAAGTCCAGGTTAATGTGCAGGTTTGCAGTGAATTACTATGTTGGTGCAGGCAAGACTGTGATATTCATGGTGACTGGTTGGGTGCTGAGTAATAGCAGGGACACTATAAGAGTGATATATGACACTTTATAAATGTGAATTTATGGGAACATTTTGCAATGGCAAGGAAGTGTGTGTCACAAAGCATGATTATGAGAGAGATGGGGGTGGGTGGGAGTGATGGGAGATGTTTCAGGGTTGTTCCTTTATTATTTTAGGGTCACTGAGGCAAATTGAGAGTCTTGAGATTTGGTGCTATATAAATAAAGCTTCCTGTGTATGAGTGTATGTAACATCTGAAGGGATTTTAGAGTTCACATTGAATAATTTCAGTAAGAGGATTAATCGTTACTCACCCAATGTGGACTTAAGAATTTTAATGATAATTTTGCATTTTTCTCTACACATTTTTGCTTTGTTGGATTGAAGTCTGAAAGGAGCTGGAGGACTTAATGAGTCACTGCTCCCTCATTTGGACTTCATTGGGTGCAGTCTGCAGAGGACTGTCTGTGACCATGAGCACTGGCCACTCGGTGGCAGTGTTTCATCTGAAGTTAGTGCAGTTAACATCTGGACGTAGGCAACTGAAGCTGCCTGCATTGCTTGGTTGGGTCTATCTCTTGGAATTGGAAACTCAAACCTTTTGGAAAACTGCTCCAGACTTACTACAAAGGAGTAACTGCTGATCCACAACACTGAGTGTACAACCACTGCCCACACACTGCCTGCTGTACCACAACTTACACTATGTTTCCACATCTGTCAAATTTTAACCCCCACTAATGGCAACGACCACTTTTTTACGGAGCCCCGCAGGGGACATGGGAGAAAAAAAAATTAAGATGGACTTTTGCGAGATCTCGCAAAACTAACTCGGGTTCTCGCAAAAGTTTTGCAAGATCTCGCAAAACTAACTCGGGTTCTCGCAAAAGTTTTGCAAGATCTCGCAA